CACAATCAATCTTTTGGGTAGTATTTAGTATTTCTACTATGATAGCTACCTTTAGCTGACACTTTAAGTTGGCATAGTATTTGTACTCAGGGTGAGACTCATTACTAATGATAATGGATGTAAATACACACACACACAATCAAACAGTGAAATAGATCAATTCTATTAATTCTGGCCAAAGGTCATATGGTCAGCTACATGTTAAGTCACAAGGCCTAGTTAACTTTCTTAGCTAGAAAGAGCAAAGTTGGATATAGATAAGGAACTCAAATATTTTCCTGAGACTATCTTGATAGCAACTCATTTAGACACCATGGAAACCAACACAAGAGCACAGTCATACCCAGGAACCACCATGCTAGCAAACTCAGCTTTGGGGTGTGGCCAGCTTTACAAAAACCTATTGGGCTGGGAATGTGGCTTAGTGGTAGAGTGCTTGCCTAGCATGCATGAAGCCCTGGGTTCAATTCCTCAGTACCATATAAAACAAAAAAACCAGAAGTGACGCTGTGGCTCAAATGGTAGGGGGCCAGCCATGAGCTCAGAGTTTTAAAAACTCAAGTGGTAGAGCACCTGCCTAAGAAGTGAGGCTCTAAGTTTAAACCCCAGAACTGAGAAAAAGAGATCAGACTAGAGAATGAACACTTATGAACAAGTGTTCCTCCAGCTGCTAATGCTCTGACTAGTCTTAAGACAAGGTGTCTCTTTTTTTTTTCTTTGTGCTGGTCTTGGGGCTTGAACTCAGGGCCTGGGCGCTGTCCTTGAGCCTTTTTTTGGTTATTGTTCAAGGCTAGCTCTATACCATTTGAGCCACAGCTCCATTTTCAGCATTTTGGTGGTTACCTGTGTCTAATGAACTTTCCTGCCCAGCTGACTTCAAACTGTGATCCTAAGATCTCAGCTAGAGTAACTAGGATTACAGGTGTGAGCCACCAGCTCTTGGCAACACTGCCTTCTTGATAGCAAGACAGTCATCACCAGATATAGCCCCTTAACCTTGCACCAAGATGAGGAACAAAATAAACCTTTGTTTTCCTCTTGCTCCAGGTTCTGTTGTGTGTGTGTCTGTGTGTGTGTGCCTGTCTTGGGTCTTGAACTCAAGAGCCTGGGCATGGTCCCTGAGCTATTTTGCTCAAGGCTGATGATCTACCTTTTAAACCCCAGGTCCCCTTCCAACTTTTTTTAGTTGGAAATAAGAGTTTCACAGACAGGGGCTGGGAAGGTGGCTCAGTGGTAGAGCGCTTGCCTTGCGTGCATGAGGCCCTGGGTTCGATTCCTCAGAACCACATAAGCAAAAAGAAAAAAAGCCGGAAGTGGCGCTGTGGCTCAAGTGGTAGAGCGCTAGCCTTGAGCTGAAGAGTTGAGGGACAGTGCCCAGGCCCAGAGTTCAGGCCCCACGACCGGACCAAAAAAAAAAAAAAGAGTTTCACAGACATTCCTGCCTAGGCTGGCTTTAAACTGTGATCTTCTGATCTCAGTCTCCTGAGTAGCTAGGATTACATACAGGCATGAGACACCAGCACCTAGCTTCCTCTAGGTTCCCTGTGTAATCTGGGCTGGCTTTGAATTCAGGACCTTCCTGCTTCCACGTGGTAGAATTAATGACAGGTATGTACCACCACACCCAACCAAACTCCTTTTCTTTAATAACTTAACCAGGATTTAGTAATGTATGACTAGAAAATGTACTAAAATACCTTCCTTAAAAGAAAAAAGTGGGGCTGGGAAGGTGGCTCAGTGGTAGAGCGCTTGCCTTGCATGCCTGAGGCCCTGGGTTCGATTCCTCAGCACCACATAAGCAAAAAGAAAAAAGCCGGGAGTGGTGCTGTGGCTCAAGTGGTAGAGCGCTAGCCTTGAGCTGAAGAGCTGAGGGACAGCGCCCAGGCCCAGAGTTCAGGCCCCACGACCGGACCAAAAAAAAAAAAAAAAAAAAGAAAAAAGTTTGTTGTACATGGCACCACCTAATACTAGCTATGTGACCATGCCTCCATTCCTTTATAAGCACATACCATAACTGAACACCTAGATCTTGCCCACTGCAGGTGCTAAGTATTCTAGTGTTGCTCTACTGTCTTGTTGAACAAATCACTGTGATCCACTGAATGATATTAAGGTCCACTACAATGGTGTCCTCTGGATAGCTGGTACCCTGTTGGTACATAGCAGGGATGAGATCAACATTAAAGGCTAAAGATTAAAATTACAATCTTCCTAAGAAAAGCAAGTGCTCAAACCAGTTTAAACCTAATGTCACATTCAGTTATTAGGCACTGGAGTTAATGTAAGCCCCATTTTTCTTTGCTAAAGTTAGTGCAAGTTTTCTTAGAGGCCATGTAAATCAGGTAGTCACAGCCAAGCCACACACATGATGAGTCACTTTGTTCTACATAGTAATGGTAAGGTAAGGATGTCACAACCTCAAGAGTCAACATCATCCCTTAAAAAAGAAACAGTCTCCTTGGCCAGGTGCCAGTGGCTCACACCTGTAAACCTAGCTACTCAGGATGCTGACAGGATCACGGTTCAAAGCCAGACTGGGCAGAAAAGTCTGTGAGACTCTTATCTCCAATTAACCACCAGAAAAACCAGAAGTGGTGCTGTGGCTCAAAAGGTACAGTACTCGCCTTGAGCTGAAGAGCTGAGGGACAGTTCCCAGGCCCAGAATTCAAGCCCCACAACTGACAAAAACAAAACTTCCATGTGAAAGAATGAAAAAAGGACAGGTCGCAAAGTATATACCATTAAATCAAGTTAAAAAAAGTAAAGTGGGGGATGGGAAGGTGGCTCAGTGGTAGAGCACTTGCCTTGCATGCCTGAGGCCCTGGGTTCAATTCCTCAGCACCACATAAGCAAAAAGAAAAAAGCTGGAAGTGGCGCTGTGGCTCAAGTGGTAGAGCACTAGCCTTGAGCTGAAGAGCTGAGGGACAGCACCTAGGCCCAGAGTTCAGGCCCCACGACCGCCCCCCCCAAAAAAAGTAAAGTGGGAGAGGAGGTACATGTATGTGATATATGTCTTCATGCATGGAGATGTATTTAATGGTATCATTAATTAAGGTAATGATAACAAATCATTAGCTTCCTCCCTTTTACTACTGTGATATCCATTTTTTTTCTTTTTTGTAGTTCTGAGGTTTGAACTTCGGACCTTGAACTCTGCTAGGCAAGAATTCTACCATTTGAGCCATGCCCCTACAGTTCTAATTTTTTTGTTTTGAATAGCCTGTATTTTTTAAACATTGACTGCTGCTTTTGAACAAAGAAAAAAGGATTATGAAATTATAAAACAAATAGCATTTTGGACCCTTACAGAATTATTTCCCTTGTTTTCTTTTGGCTTTGTTTTTTGCAATATAGAGATTATGCTGCCACCTCTAGAATGTTCTAATTTAAGCAGAGGGAAGGAAAAGTTAATTAATTTGGAATTTGAAAAACTAATTGTTTAAAAAGGCTAACAAGGTTCAAAAATGATTCACAAAAAAAAATTTCTCTTAGGTATATCTCTTGTAACACAAGGGCTTTGATGGCTCCAGACTTGCGCTTTCTGCAGAGGTATCAGCAGAGGCCCATCGAGCTCCAAATCTGCCTCTGTTATTTAATGAAATGTCAAGAAAAGTTGAACAAATGGCCACCTCTCAGAACCCGAATATCTGGGTATAAAATTGGAAACATCAAATGCCTATGGTTATGAAGTTGAATTAGACAACTTTTAACTTTTCTGATCCCATGCCCTGTCTGAAAAAACACACATAAAAAATGTGTGTGTGCACGAATCACTATATAAACCGTACTATGGATATGATGAAACAGACAACAACCATAAAATTTAAATATGCAATACAAACAGAAACTCAAATATATTTGTCCTGAGCCCTGCTGGATCATCTCAGGCACTGGCAGACAAATATGCATAGACAGGTGATGTCTCTCTCCACTGTGCACAGACAAGAGAGTACAGCCAGCAAGGGCCACTAGCTGGCACTAATCTGCCTTTTCTTCCTTGCTTTCTATTACAATTTTGTGAGGATTTAACCCAACTTCAAGGTCTTGATTATTTAACCCTAACAGAGAAGGCCCTAACAGATCCTCGGCAAGTAGCAAATCCCTGGCAAACTTAAATAACTAATAGGAACTAGATATAAGTAAGAACTGGAGGGCTGGGATGTAGCTCAATGGCAAAGCGCTTGCCTAGCAAGTGCAACGTCCTGAGTTCGATCCCCAGTACTAAAAAAGACAAAAAAAATACAGTTAAAAAAAAATAAGTAAGAACTGGATCAAAACACTACTTCCTCAAGCCATCTGGAAATCTTAGAAAAACATACTTCTGGCACAAAAAGCCTTTAATAATCAGCCAAAATAATTGTTAAGAAAGCTGTATGGGGGCTGGGAAGGTGGCTCAGTGGTGGAGTGCTTGCCTTGCATGCCTGAGGCCCTGGGTTCGATTCCCCTGCACCACATAAGCAAAAAGAAAAAAGCCGGAAGTGGCGCTATGGCTCAAGTGGTAGAGTGCTAGCCTTTAGCTTAAGAGCTGAGGGACAGCACCCAGGCCCAGAGTTCAGGCCCCACGACCGGACCCAAAAAAAAAAAAAAAAAAAGCTGTATGATGGCTAGGTGCTGGTGGCTCACACTTGTAATCCTAGCTACTGAGGAGGCTGAGATCTGAGGACTGTGGCTCAAAGCCAGCCCAGGCAGGAAAGGCTGTGAGATTCTTATATCCAATTAACCACCAGAAAACCAGAAGTGGAGCTGTGGCTCAGGTGGAAGAGCGCTAGCTTTGAGCTGAAGAGCTCAGGATAGCACCAGGCCCAGAGTTCAAGCCCCACAACGGAAGGAAGGAAGGGAGGGAGGGAGGGAGGGAGGGAGGGAGGGAGGGAGGGAGGAAGGAAGGAAGGAAGGAAGGAAGGAAGGAAGGAAGGAAGGAAGGAAGGAAGGAAGGAAGGAAGGAAGGAAGGAAGGAAGGAGTATGAGACCACATATACTTGATAGCAGCTAGAGAGGCCTACCTTTAGAATTTCAGGTTCTTTGATGTCCAGTGATCTTATATTCCAGTGTTGCAGAGTTTTATGTGACTTAGGATATTTATGAGCACTTGGTGGTGTAAAAAACCAAATCATGCAAATCGCAGTCATGAATCCAAGGCCAACTCCCAGAAAGAGTCCACTAATATAGTAGGGGAGGGGGAGGATGAGGTATGCATAGACACACATTACAAAGAAACCCAATGTCTTCACGGGTAATTCTACCTGTGTGTCCACCTCATCCTCACTGTCAAGATCTACACGATCATCCTCGAGCACCTCTGGCTTGAGAGGGATGTCTGGGGGCTTGTCAGCCCTCCCCTCCCCCTCAGTTTCCAGGTCAAAGTCTTCAGTGTACAGTTCACAGAACTCTTCATCCTCTTTGCTCACTAAGGCAGACAAGGAACATTTCTCAAGAACGAGAGAACTTGTCTTCAAACCTAAATCCTTCAAACTGCTTGCCTGGGAGCCTTTGGGTTCCACCTCTCTTGCGTGCTCTTCCGTGGACTTTGAGGGGTCACTCCTGGCAAGGCTGGAGTCATTCCCAGAACCATCCCCTTCCGAGTCACACTCCTCCTCCTTGATGCTGTAGTTGTTATTGCTTTCCAAGTGCCCGTTCAAACTGGACAGGTTGGAGAGTTCTGAAGCACTTGAAGATAAGGCTTTGGGCCTATGGCTGCCACTTTCTTCCCCAATAATTTTACTGAGGAGCTGAAAAGGTTCATATATGACTTCTGAAAGGCGTCGTTTAGTGTCTTCAATTTTTGCCTCCATCTCGGGCACTTTAAAAAAGGATCGAGTATCAGAGGGAGAAGTCAGTGGAGAAGAAGGTGCAGTTTTGGAATCTCCACCTGTGTTTCGTGGCTGTGTGAACTGCTTGAACAGGTGCAAATTCAGTTTGGAGTCAGGAGGCTTATAGGACACAGAGTCGGACTCCTGCCAAGAAGTGTCTGTGGACAGAGACTTGACTAATGTTTTCATCAAGTGCCTGTGCCTGGGGGTGTGTGGGGACTCTTTTGGCTCCACCTCAGTAGACAGGGATTTCACCAGGCTCATGAAGGGCTTTGCACTGGAAAGGGCGGAGGATGAGGCACTGGATGAAAGGACAGGAGACTTGGAAGGAGAAGACAGTGGGGAAGAGGAACTGGTTTTCTGCTCAGAAAGGGACGACACACTAGGAGAACTAGCTAAGGGCCCTGATGAAGAGGACCCTGGGGACAGAGCCAATGGCACTGTACTTAATACTTGTGCTGCCGGAGAAGGGGATTCCAGCAGCTTTACAGTGTTCTCGGAGACGGGCAAAATGGCAGGGGACCGGGACACAGACAGTCCATCTGCCAGGATGGCAGCAGGGCCCACGGTGTCATGGCCAACCTGGGGTTCAAGATAGAGGTCTTCCTTGGCTTCAAGCCCCGTTACAATGCTTTGGTCGTCCAGCCCCTCAAGGTATTCCCTGAACTCCTCCTCCTCTTCCTCCTCCTCCTCCCCAGATGCCGAGAAGTGAATGGCGATAGTGTCTCGGGACACAGACCTCTGCACGTGCACTTTGGGGGCTGATGGTTTTGGCATGTCAATGGTTTTCTCTGCATGGCGACCATTCAGACTTGTCATTGCCGGCTTCGCAAGGACTCAGGCTCTGTGGAAACAGTGAGAAAAGCAGAGATCAGAGAGCAGCTTCTCCACAGGACACACTGCTGTTTGCCGGAGGAGGCTAAGATAAAGCTCAGTTAAAGTGTGATTATGCTTTTCCTTGGCAGATGTCCACTGTTTCTTCACTTCAGTGGGTTTAATGGTTTAATTTTCACTAGATGAATTCCAGTTAGTCATTCTCTCTTATGAGGAAACCACACACTAGTGTTACAAGCGACACACAATCTGTCTTACTTCCCAACATCTGAATAACCACTTCCTCTCTTTCACTGGCCCATTTCTACTAAATTCTCTACTGTTTAAAGTACCTAAGCAATAGATGCTACCAGAAGTCCAACAGGATATAATGTGCTTCCTGGTAATTTTCAGGATACTATACAAAAAGGTGCACCAGTGGTCTTCTAGTTATAAAGTTAACTCAAGAGGGATTCTACTTCCTTGGTAGTATTCACAGCCATTCTAATGATTTGCCTTACTTCTCCCTCCAGCACTAGTACTATCTTGCCACTACAAATAAGAGGTGAAATATCCAAGTGGGGAGGTCAGTAAAATTAACCGCATGACCATGACCTGTTTACTTCTTTATTCTCTTAACTGGTAGGTACTAGAAAGCCAGGGTGTTGAGGTAGCCATGAAGACATGACTGTTTATTTCAAGCCGAATTCATTATTCAAATGGCAAGACAATAAAAGGTCAATGCTGCAGCCTACTACTCATCAAGAATTCTATTGAGTGACATTGATCAACATGCACTGTACTTACAAACTGACATGTTGAATTGAAACCTCTTTGTATTTAAGGAGACAGACAGACAGACAGACAGACAGAGGCCAGTACCTGTGGCTCATACCTGTAATCCTGGCTACTCAAGGCTGAGATCTGAAGATTGTGGTTCAAAGCCAGCCCAGGGAGCAAAGTCTGTGAGGCTCTTATCTCCAACAAACTACTCAAAAAAGCCAGAAGTGGCACTGTGGCTCAAGTGGTAGAGCACTCACCTTGAGCAAAAGATGGCACCCAGGCCCAGACTTCAAACCTCAGGATTAGCAAAAAAATTTTAAAAAAGGAAGGGGGGGGGGGGGGGAGAAAAAACTCTTGAGGACTATTGTAAGAGTCATAGAAGCCATGCTTTCTGCCGTTCTGGAGCTTAGTGGCTAGTTGGCAACAAGATGGGTATTTTAAAAGCAGAGCAGCTAAATAGACGATGCCAAGCCCACCTTTCGCCACCGTATATTATATCTCTCCTTGCTCAGTTACAGCCCACTGACTAGGCATCAGGCATCATGTCAGTCCTCACAAGATCAATAGCCCAAAGCTGGGTGCCAGTGGCTCATGCTTGAAATCCTAGCTACTCAAGAGTCTGAAATCTGAGGATCGCAGTTCAAAGCCAGCCTAGGCAGAAAAGGCCCCACAAAACTCTTCTCCAAATTAACCACTCAAAAACCAGAAGTGGTGCTATAGCGCAAGTGGTAGAGTATTAGCCTTGAGCACAAAGAGTCTCAGAGACAGCACCCAGAACCCAAGTTCAAACCCCACAATCAAAAACAACAACAACAACAAACAAACCTGGAACGGAGTTTACATCAAAAGAGGTAAGACACAGAAAACATTCAGGAGTTCTGAAGAAGGCAAGATCTGTGTGTGACACAGGACATCCACTTAGTCCTCTAAACTGATGGGTAAGGGGAAGTGAATGGGCATGATTAGGAAGGAAAGGACAGGCCATGAAGACCAGTGTGGGCTAGATCCATCTATAATCACACTCACACTCACACTCACACACACACACACACACACACACACACACACACACACACACACCTATAATGAATAGGTATTCATGATGCAAAGACCTGAGGATTGTAGTGTGAAGCCATCTCACGCAGGAAAGCACATGAGACTTATTTCCAATTAATCAGCTAGAGCTGGAGCTGTGATTCAAGTGATAGAGCACTAGCCTTGAGGAAAAGCTCAGAGACAGCGCCCAGGCCCTGAATTCAAACCCAGTACCAGCACACACAAAAATATGAATAAATAAGGCATGATGGCCCAGGGGAAACAGCACCTGTCTTGGGGCCAGGCAACAGGGTGTTTGGTACTTGTTCTCTTCCCAGCTGACTCTGGAAGAGGCCTGAACAAGCATCTTAAGCTGGAAAATCAGGGAACTGGGGTCCTTTCTAAATCTAAAGCCCAACAGGTTTATGTTTACAGGTGATTATACACAACTTCACACTATATAGTAACAGGTAATCTACCTCCACAGGCCATCAACATGATGTTGCTAATTTTTTCCTTTAAAGTGAAGCGCTCTGTACAGTTAAGTCTTCAGTCAAATATTCCTAGAGAATATAGCAAACCTGCAGGGAAGGGTGGAAAACAACGATCCTGGAACACAAAAAAAGTGCAAATTCTCCAAGGATGACAAGATCTCGAGTGCCAGGGCTGACACAAGATGGGCACATCTGAAATGACACATTCTCGGTGTCAAATCCTTGAGAGAAATTACTTTCACCAAAACTTTCCAAGAGTTTTGCTGGGGTTATTCAGGATCCTTCTATCTCAGGTGAATTTGGGGAAAGGAAGGATCTCATCAAGCACGCAAAACCATTTATGTCCAGGAACTGGCAGCAGCCAGAAAAAAAACACAGGCTCTGGTCCAGAATGATTCCTGTTATCCGTACACCAACAAGTTTGTAGGTTTACAAAGAAGAACTATGCCAGGAGTAACAGGATTTTTATTTAGCTGCCATCTAGCTTTACAAGGGTCATTTTAAAAGAAAAGTATAGAGGTAATTTAAAATGAAAATTGGTCCTTGATAATTCTCAGCAAGTTGCTTTAACAGCAGACTGGAGAGCGCATTAGGCTCTGTTTTCTAAGGCTGCTGCAAGGGGTACAGTGGCTGCCCAGTGAAAGTAGCTGTGGTAAAAGTCAAGTACAAAGTATACAGTTCTGAATCTGATCAGCGTAAGCCGGTCCACTGGGAAGTAAGGCAAGAGTGGAGAGGACTGACTGAGGTGGGTGGGCTGGGAATCAAGGGGAAGTCAGGTCCAGCCCAAGGTCATAGCATGAAAAAACCAAAACAAAACATAGAGAGCATCCACAGGGCTGTAGTCTCAGCAGTCAGGCTGGGCCCCAAAGGGAAAAGCTGGCATTTGTGTAGAGCCCAGGACAGGCCTATTTGCCCAGTCCCCTTCCACACAGAAAGGAGGCCCCTGACCTGCCAGTTAAAAGGGATCTCTGAGCCAGGCGCCAGTGGTTCATGCCTATAATCTTAGCTACTCAGGAGGCAGAGATCTGAGGACTGTGGTTCCAAGCCAGCCTGGGCAGGAAAATCCGTAATACTCTTAAGTCCAATTAATCACAGCAAAACCTGGAAATGGCGCTGGGGTTCAAGTGGTAGAGTGCTAACAAAAAGAGCTCAGGGACAGTGTCCAGAGTTCAAGGCCCAGGACCAGCAAAATTAAAAAAAAAAAAAAAAAAAAGGGAGGGAGGATTTCTCTTGATCTCCATACCAGCCAGACTGCCTATATTGGCCAATATGGTCTCTCAGGTGGGCCCCATGGAGAGGGGATACCTGGCCGACAGTAGGGAGAAGACAGTCTGGCTCATGGTCAAAAAGGAAATGCTCTCCAGTCCTCAAGTAGCAGCTTCAGAGGTTCATAATCAACATTCTCCAATCCACACCTCCCCAGTCTCTGGTGTGAGACCAGGGCATCACTCATTACCCACCCTCCCTGGCTGCCTCCCTCCTTCCCTGCCTTTTTTCCCTACTGATGTTTAAACAGGGTCTTGCACTTGCTGGCTGGCACTTTACCACTTGAAGCACTGCTAGTTCTTTTCTGTTGAGGTGATTTCTTGGAAGGTCTCATGTTTTTTGTTTGTTGTTTTTTAAAATAAGTATTTTATTGTGACAGAGGGGTTACAATTACATGGGCAAAGTAATGAGTGCATTTCTTATCAAGCATTGTTGCCTCCTCCTTTGTTTCCCCTTCCCATCCCTTCCCGCCCCCTGGGTCTCATGTTTTTGCCCAGGGCTGGCATGGGTCATGATCCCCCTGCATAGCTGACGTTATATATGTGAGCCACGGAATCTGGCTGGTATTCTCACAGGTATTCTCTTCCTCCTCTTCCTCCTCACTCCTTCTTGAGGGTACTGCGGTTTGAATCTGGGGCATACAGCTTGCTAGTCAGGAGCTCTATCATTGAGCCACACCTCTAGCCCCACACTGGTACTTTTTTTTTTTGGTTGGTCATAGGGCTTGATCGCTGGACCTAGGCACTGTCTCTGAACTCTTCACCGCAAGGCAAGCGCTCTAACACTTGAGCCACAGAGCCAATTCTGGTTTTCTGGTGGTTAAATGGAGATTATAGTCTCATGGACTTTCCTGTCCCGGCTAGCTCTGAACCATGACCCTCAGATTTCAGCCTCCTGAGTAGCTAGGATTATAGGCATGAGCTACAGGTGCCAAGCTCACACTGGTATTTTTTAAATGCAAGAAAACCTCTGGCCTCTGCCAATCACATAAACTGAGATTAGACTAGACGAACAAAGACTACTTCTAGACGAAAATCACTGCATAATTTGCTGTACTAGAACCAGAGTCCATGGTTGGGGCTCTCGACAACCTATCTGGTGGTCTCCCCCAGGCCCTCTCCTTCCTTCTGTGTTCCTAATGGCAGACTGAAAAGGCCAATAGAGACTCTCCCCTCAGCCAATCACAGCCTTGTAGGACAGCAAGGCCTAGAAGAAAGTCAAGTGACAACCCAGAAGATGACGTGGTCTGCACAATGGCATACCACTGACTTGAGTGTCAGGTCCAGACACCATTCTCGCAGTAACAAGCTTCCTCCTCAGGTAGAAAACAGAGACATGCTCTTTACTCCTGCTGTGCCCTGGTCATGGTACCCACCATCTGACCCTAGTCACAGATGGCTCCCAGTGAGCTAAGAGCTGGGTTTTCAACTAGTAGCATGTGACCAGCTGGACT